GAGAGAGAGAGATAGAGAGAGAGGAGAGCGAGATCTAGAGAGAGAAGGCAGAGAGAGAGAGAGAGAGGGAAGCTGAGGGGCTAGTGTGTGTGCTTGCTAAAGAGCTAAACAGGTGTGACAGCTGTGGAAGCCTTGACAGGACAGAAAGGTTGCTGTGGCCTCGTAGCGATGCTAAACTGAGCGTGACCCCTCCCCTGTCTCTGGCTAGCGCTCTCACTGCTGCCGCCCCAGGACTCTGTGGTCTGTGGGCTAGGTGATAGGTGATGTGAAAGTCACTCTCCCTTTCTCTCTCTGTCAGACTTTCTCTCTCTTTCTCTCTCTCTCAAAAGCTAAGAACTAACCAGTTGTTCGCTCTACCTTTTCATGTTTGTCTCTTTATGACGTCAGACTCTCTTCCTCTCTCTCAATGTCTGTCTGTCCGTCTGTCTGTCCGTCCGTCTGTCTGTCTGTTTGTCTGTTTCTACCTCTTTCTTTCTCTCTTCAGCTGACCCACTCTCTCCCTTTCTCTCTCTCTCTCTCTCCCTCTCCCTCTCTCGCTCCTCTTCTCCTCTCTCCTCCTCTCTCTCTCCCTCTCCCATCCTCCCCTCCTCTCTCATCCTCTCGTGTCCTCTCTCCCCTCTCTCTGTGTCTTTCCCTCTCTTTCTGCCTTTTTGTCCTTAATGGGAGGTGAAAGACTGGCTAATTTTATTTTATTTTTCATACAAAATTCAAATTCAATAAGTTTAACCTTTCCGTCTGCCCTTGTTGACTCCTCCTAGCACCCTGGCTTACTTCCCTGTAAGGACCTAATTTACAGAGTGAAAGGGAGTATAATATGAGGATAACTCTGGTGCTATCTATATGTGGTTACTTACATCTGTACAGGGTGAACTCTGAAATACTCTATGCAATAAGGTTTTATGGTCCTCTCAGGAATTATTTCTTATTTACATTGGTGTCATCCCCCACACACTCCTATGCATGCTGTAATGCTATAGGTTCAGGGGTGTGTCAGCAATATTTTGGCTATTTTCACTATCACAATTATCGGCGCACTTGCTGGCGTTGGTGCGAAAAGGCTGGGTTTTGACGAATAAACAAGTTGTTGGTGTGTCGAGGCTTGGCCAATCAGAACGTGCTCCACGGCAAAATATGTGGTTGCTTCAAGTTGTGTATTTACTGTATTTTATGTATTGCCTTGGAATCAACTCCAATTCCAATGTTAGTCAGTTATAGTTTGTTAAATGGCTTACAGAAACGACATAACAAAATGTAGACCCATCTTTGCTATATACAGTGGGGGGAAAAAGTATTTAGTCAGCCACCAATTGTGCAAGTTCTCCCACTTAAAAAGATGAGAGAGGCCTGTAATTTTCATCATAGGTACACGTCAACTATGACAGACAAATTGAGGGAAAAAAATCCAGAAAATCACATTGTAGGATTTTTTATGAATTTATTTGCAAATTACGGTGGAAAATAAGTATTTGGTCACCTACAAACAAGCAAGATTTCTGGCTCTCACAGACCTGTAACTTCTTCTTTAAGAGGCTCCTCTGTCCTCCACTCGTTACCTGTATTAATGGCACCTGTTTGAACTTGTTATCAGTATAAAAGACACCTGTTCACAACCTCAAACAGTCACACTCCAAACTCCACTATGGCCAAGACCAAAGAGCTGTCAAAAGACACCAGAAACAAAATTGTAGACCTGCACCAGGCTGGGAAGACTGAATCTGCAATAGGTAAGCAGCTTGGTTTGAAGAAATCAACTGTGGGAGCAATTATTAGGAAATGGAAGACATACAAGATCCTGCAGAGCCAGACGTGTCCCCCTGCTTAAGCCAGTACATGTCCAGGCCCGTCTGAAGTTTGCTAGAGTGCATTTGGATGATCCAGAAGAGGATTGGGAGAATGTCATATGGTCAGATGAAACCAAAATAGAACTTTCTGGTAAAAACTCAACTCGTCGTGTTTAGAGGACAAAGAATGCTGAGTTGCATCCAAAGAACACCATACTTACTGTGTAGCATGGGGGTGGAAACATCATGCTTTGGGGCTGTTTTTCTGCAAAGGGACCAGGACGACTGATCCGTGTAAAGGAAAGAATGAATGGGGCCATGTATCGTGAGATTTTGAGTGAAAACCTCCTTCCATCAGCAAGGGCATTGAAGATGAAACGTGGCTGGGTCTTTCAGCATGACAATGATCCCAAACACACCGCCCGGGCAACGAAGGAGTGGCTTCGTAAGAAGCATTTCAAGGTCCTGGAGTGGCCTAGCCAGTCTCCAGATCTCAACCCCATAGAAAATCTTTGGAGGGAGTTGAAAGTATGTGTTGCCCAGCGACAGCCCCAAAACATCACTGCTCTAGAGGAGATCTGCATGGAGGAATGGGCCAAAATACCAGCAACAGTGTGTGAAAACCTTGTGAAGACTTACAGAAAACGTTTGACCTGTGTCATTGCCAACAAAGGGTATATAACAAAGTATTGAGAAACTTTTGTTATTGACCAAATACTTATTTTCCACCATAATTTGCAAATAAATTCATTACAAATCCTACAATGTGATTTTCTGGTTTTTTTTTTCTCATTTTGTCTGTCATAGTTGACGTGTACCTATGATGAAAATTACAGGCCTCTCTCATATTTTTAAGTGGGAGAACTTGCACAATTGGTGGCTGACTAAATACCTTTTTCCCCACTGTATATTAACTTGAACCCATTTGCAGTTCACAGGGATGGGCAACTTTGATGTAGGTTGGGGCCACAAAAACCAACCCTGCGAGCAAAACATTTTAGCAGCCCCCCTCGTGAGAGCGAAGAGAACATTTATGAGTTTTAAAGGTCATTTCCTGCAATTCAAAAAAAAAAAAATTGCCATGAGGCGGAGAGAAGTTTTGAAAATTTTCTAACTAATTTCCTGCAATTCTACACATTTTGCCATAGGGTGGAGGCAAATGTTTGCGTTTTTTTTATATGATAACTGATCAATGGGCTCCACCCCGGTCGGTAATTCGACCGTGCTTACTACAAGCTTACATAGCTGGCCTCTAGACTAATTTACCAATCTAAAATAAATAGCTGACATGGGCTAATCGAGTGACTGGTGATGCACAACCACATTTTCGAAATTCCACCTCGTATATTCTATTATTCTAACTCTCGACAGGAAGTTGAGAACCAGACGGAGTAAAAAAATATATAAAACAAAGTCTTAAAAAGGAACATCGGGGGACTGTGAAGACACAAACACAGGTACAGACACATGCATACACATGATAACACACACACTCTACACACACGTACACGTGGACTTTGTATTGTAGATATGTGGTGGTAGAGTAGTGGCCTGAGGACACACACTTGATGTGTTGTGAAAAGTCTTCTGTCTGTGTTGTTTGTTTTTTGTTTTTGTATTTTAAATCCCAGCCCCCATCCCCACAGGATACTTTTGGCCGTCAAATAAGAATTTATAAATAAATAAAGATGAGATGAAAATAGAAATAAACTGTGGAGTAATGACTGTTTTGACCACAGAGAGGCAGCATCCTAAAATGAATTGGTCTGAGGCTTTCTGGTCCAGTCATACTGTAGCCTACCATGACAACAAGCCAGGGTTTGAATCCTGGGGGTTGTTGGATATTTGGCATTACATATCAGGAGCATATTCAGATGGGGTGCAACATTACAGATCATTCAGATAAAAGTGTATTGAAAGGCACATATAAAACTGTGTAGAATATGCAATCTTGTCAGCTATGTACATCACATACTATAGAGAGAGAGAGAGAGAGAGAGATAGAGAGAGCGAGAGAGAGAGAGAGAGAGAGAGAGAGAGAGAGAGAGAGAGAGAGAGAGAGAGAGAGAGAGAGAGATGTGCGAGACAGGAGAAAGGCATGGAAGACTGTCTACCAGGCTCTGGGAATCCCTGTGCTCAACTCTGCCGCAGGCTACAACGTTAAATGTGCTTACCGCAAGTACCTGTATGGGTTTGAGGAATACTGCACCTCCTGCACCATCACCTTCCGTATGGACCTACCCCTGAAGCAGCCCAAGGCGGAGGGGTAGAGGGGGGAGGCATGGGCAGGGGGAGCCACTACTGTTCCCCTTGTAGCCTCCTCCAGCTGTGGAGAGGAACAGAAGCAGAACGTCTCTGAGAACCCCTCAGCAGACTCAGAGACCAGCAGCACTCAGCCTAACATCTACAAGGAGGAGAAGACTGAGCCGACCAGGAACAAACCTGAGACAGAACCTTTGAAGGCTAAGAGAGACGATGATGATGATGACAATGAGGAAGAAGATGGAGATCATCACAAGCATGAGTCTGATGATGAAGACGGGCCTTCGTCAGAGCCGAGGGAGTGAAGCTGGAGCCTTATGATGAGGAGGCCAATTTTAATAAACTCCCTTATCTACTGGGTGAAAAACCACAGTGTGCCATCACAGCAGCAAAATATTTTCCCATTTGTACTTGAACTATTTGCACATTGTTACAACACTGTATATAGACATAATATGATATTTGAAATGTCTTTATTCTTTTGGAACTTCTGAGTGTAATGTTTACTGTTAATATTTATTGTTTATTTCACTTTTGTTTACAGTTGGTAGAGCATGGTGCTTGCAATGCCAGGGTTGTGGGTTCATTTCCCACGAGGGGACAGTATGAAAATGTATGCACTCACTAACTGTAAGTCGCTCTGGATAAGAGCGTCTGCTAAATGACTAAAATGTAAAAATCTACTTCACTTGCTTTGGCACTGTTAACATACGTTTCCCATGCCAATAAAGCCCTTAAATTGAAATTGAGAGAGACTCTTCTTCCCACCCACCATGAACTATATAGACTATATAGTCCTTTGTCCTTGAAACATTGAAATGAAATACTGTAGAAGTCCATTCATTCCTATGGGACTGCTTTTCTGAGGAGTGTCTATATGGCCGACCGGTGTGTTTAGCATCCAGCCTCCAGAATATTCAACCCAGGGTTCATATCGAACTGAGCTCACTTCCGTGTATTCTTTATTCGACGGGTCGCATGCTTCCCGTCTTCATTTTGACCAGGCAACGCGCAGCGCTCATCCGCCCTCGTCAGTGGCCGTGCGGTATAGCAGCGAGAGCGCTACATGCGAAGCAGCGACATTTATCTGCGCGAAGAAGTGGATATTTACACACTGCTTACATAACTGGGACTATTTCTACTTCTGTTATTTTTTTCTTTTTCTAGCCACTCAAAGCTTGTTTTTAAGTGCACGTTTGTTCACATTTTGCATTACTAACTGATTTAAACTCAAAATGGAGAATCAAGAAAGCAAGTATCTCCCCGAGCTTCTCGCAGAGAAGGACAGTATGGATGTTTCGTTTACGCACGCGATGAAACTTTTATCTGCAGGTAAAAACACATTTGATTTGCAAAATGTCCTGCCTCTACCAAAAGGATTGATATTTTATCCATTGCGATAAGATTTTTTAAATCGTGCGTTTTGAAAAAGACGCACTGTGGCTAGACGGGACGGGTATAGTGGGTCTGCAAACAGTAAACCCTTTCATAGCCTGTGCTACGACCCGTCACCCCACTGCACTTACTTAGTGACACTGTCTAGACACGGTTTAACAACCGGTTGAATGAAACCGTGAAAAATAGCTTTTCATTATCGAGTTTGTGGATTTCCCGATCGCATTCTCAAAGCTGCAACCCCTCTATTTCCATAATGGGTTTTCTGTGTCTGCAAACCGGAGAGAGAGAGAATGATGGGATGTTCTGGCGTCTTTGTGTGGCAGATATCTCCCTCGTGTGTGTGGTCGTTACCCACAGCAAACCACCAAAATTACCAATGCACAAAATACCATGTTTTCTGTCCCCTGGCAGGTTATCCAGACACCCTTTGTATTTCCGATGTGGGTGATTGCACAGAGAGAAGGCTATTCAGAGTTGCATGTAGGTCGCTTTAAAACGTTTACAATCACATGTCATCTATTACCAATTGTGGTGGTTTATTTTGAGAAGCCTACAATTGAAGCAAAAGTTGTGGGTGTGGAGAGACTACCACGTTTTGTTTTGACCTATTGTTTGACTAGGAACACCCGCAGAAGGGCAGATTATTGAAGTTTACCCATTCGAAACAAAAAGTGCTTTTTAAAATATATTTTTGGGGTGCATTTTACATTTGCCAAATATATATTTTTTATGCATTTTCAAATGTATGTTAATACGTGACACGTTTGTAAATGTATTTGGAATACAATATATTATTTGGACCATTTTAAAACAGCAGGGGTTCGAGGTGAACTTAATACAGTGTAACAGCGTCGACGCAGTGTAATAGTGTGTTTGACATTACCAGTGTAAGAAGGAAGCGTTTGTCTGCCTAAACATGGTTACTGTAGTTATTCGGTCAGTGAGAGATGCTACTATCTGTGTGGGTTTTTTTGAGCTGCTTTCCCGGACACATTTTATGCCTAGTCCTGGACTCAGTGGGGATTCTCCATGGAAATAACGGTTTAATCGCTTAATCTGTGTCCGTGAAACAGGCCCTTTCAGTTCAGTCAGATGTGTAAAATATTACAGCTAAGATCTACAGTGGCTTGCGAAAGTATTCACCCCCCTTGGCATTTTTCCTATTTTGTTGCCTTACAACCTGGAATTAGAATTGTTTTTGGTGGGGTTTGTATCATTTGATTTACACAACATGCCTACCACTTTGAAGATGTAAAATATGTTTTATTGTGAAACAAACAAGAAATAAGACAAAAAAACAGAACTTGAGCGTGCATAACTATTCACCCCCCCCCAAAGTCAATATTTTTTAGAGCCACCTTTTGCAGCAATTACAGCTGCAAGTTTCTTGGGGTATGTCTCTATACGCTTGGCACATCTAGCCACTGGGATTTTTGCCCATTCTTCAAGGCAAAACTTCTCCAGCTCCTTCAAGTTGGATGGGTTCCGCTGGTGTACAGCAAGTCATACCACAGATTCTCAATTGGATTGAGGTCTGGGCTTTGACTACGCTATTCCAAGACATGTAAATGTTACCCCTTAAACAACTCGAGTGTTGTTTTAGCAGTATGCTTAGGGTCATTGTCCTGCTGGAGGTTGAACCTCCGTCCCAGTCTCAAGAATTTCCCTGTATTTAGCACCATCCATCATTCCAGTTTCCCAGTCCCTGCCGATGGAAAAACATCCCCACAGCATGATGCTGCCACCACCATGCTTCACTGTGGGGATGTTGTTCTCGGGGTGATGAGAGGTGTTGTGTTTGCGCCAGACATAGCGTTTTCCTTGATGGCCAAAAAGCTAAATTCTAGTCTCATCTGACCAGAGTACCTTCTTCCATATGTTTGGGGAGTCTCCCACATGCCTTTTGGCGGACACCAAACGTGTTTGCTTATTTTTTTCTTTAAGCAATGGCTTTTCTCTGGCCATTCTTCCGTAAAGGCCAGCTCTGTGGGGTGTACGGCTTAAAGTGGTCCTATGGACAGATACTCCAATCTCCGCTGTGGAGCTTTGCAGCTCCTTCAGGGTTATCTTTGGTCTCTTTGTTGCCTCTCTGATTAATGCCCTCCTTCCCTGGTCCGTGAGTTTTGGTGGGCGGCCCTCTCTTGGCAGGTTTGTTGTGGTGCCATATTCTTTCCACCTTTTAATAATGGATTTAATGGTGCTCAGTGGGATGTTTCTGATATTTTTTTATAACCCAACCCTGATCTGTACTTCTCCACAACTTTGTCCCTGACCTGTTTGGAGAGCTCCTTGGTCTTCATGGTGCCCCTTGCTTAGTGGTGTTGCAGACTCTGGGGCCTTTCAGAACAGGTGTAAATATGCTGAGATCATGTGACAGATCATGTGACACTTAGATTCCACACAGGTGGACTTTATTTAACTAAATATGTGACTTCTGAAGGTAATTGGTTGCACCAGATCTTATTTAGGGGCTTCATAGCAAAGGGGGTGAATACATATGCACGCACCACTTTTCCGTAATTTTATTTTTTTAGCATTTTTTGAAACAAGTTATTTTTTAAATTTCACTTCACCAATTTTGACTATTTTTTGAATGTCCATTACATGAAATCCAAATAAAAATCCATTTAAAGTACAGATTGTAATGCAACAAAATAGGAAAAACGCCAAGGGGGGGGGGGGTGAATACTTTTGCAAGGCACTGTATGTTGAAAGGCTGATATCCAGCGAAGCACAGCAATGAGTTGTTAAACATTTCTGAAACGTGTGTTGCCTACTATTCCAGCTGGAACTTTTTCTTTTTGGTTGGGAAATGTGTTCTTCCTCTGCCCTTTCCACCCATGTGCTTTTGCATTATAATACAGACCTTCTGGAATGGAAATCTAGTACAGTACCGTAACCTACCGTTTGGTGGAGGTAGCTTATAGAAAATGGTGTAACCGGATGACTTTATCAAGACCCTCTGGTGGCTGACAGTCAGTCAGTGTCTTTTGAGATCATAGATGAAGGCATGATGGTTCATTGTTGCTAGAAAAGTGTCTTGGTTTATTGTGTCTCATGAGATACTGTATATTCTAAAATGCTTCAGGTGGGTTGCCACTAGGCCTATCAGTGAGTCACAATGCAAAAACATGACTTGGAAATACATGAAATCCTCATGGTGTGATGTGATTTCTGATTTCTACTGACCTTGACTTATGAGGGGATGACATAAAGGTTGTCTGTCGTTAGCTCATCCTAGAGACCCAGACTGGCACCCGGCTGGGACTTTGTCTGTCACCTTTTAAATGTCATCAAAGCTGGCTGAAGCGGTGGGCTATATATGCCCTACTACACAGGCGTGTTTGACAAGGTGTAAAACAGGTTGCATAAGTTAGCTACTGTATTATCTCACCTTGGCTTTGTCCCTCATGGAGCCTTTGTCCAGTACTGATAATACTGCAGATTGTAGATATGGCTTGAATGCTATAGCGCCTGTAATGGGCAATAACAACGTGTGTCAGTTGGTTGTGACGGCTTGGGCAAAGGACAGTACAAAAGGGCGTGACAGTACCTCCCCCCAAAGGCGCGGACTCCGACCGCGCCAACAGAACACCACAGGGGAGGGACCGGGTGGGCACTCCGCCTTGGTGGCGGATCCGGCTCTGGGCATGATCCCCACTCCCTCTCTAACCCCCCACAGTACCCCTGGTCCGGTCTGGCCCTGCTGGCCGGAGCTGGACTGAACACTGGTGGAGCGGATTGCTCTAGCTCCGACGTGGAGCAGCTGATCGGTACCGGACCAGGCACCAGTGGAACAGGCACGGGCCGTGTCGGACTGACGACGCACACCACTGGCTTGGTGTGGGGAGCAGGAACAGGCCGAGCCGGGCTGACGAAGCGCACCACTGACTTGGTGCGGAGAGCAGGAATGGACCGGGCCGGGCTGGCGACGCACTCCACTGACTTGGTGCGGGGAGCAGGAACAGACCGGGCCGGACTGGCGACGCGCACCATCGGCTTGGTGCGGGGAGCAGGAACAGGCCGGACCGGGCTGGCGACGCGCACCATAGGCTCGGTGCGGGGAGCAGGAACAGGCCGGGCCGGGCTGGCGACGCGCGCCATAGGCTTGGTGCGGGGAGCAGGAACAGACCGGGCCGGACTGGCGATGCGCACCATCGGCTCGGTGCGGGGAGCAGGAACAGGCCGAACCGGGCTGGCGATGCGCACCATAGGCTCGGTGCGGGGAGCAGGAACAGGCCGGGCCGGGCTGGCGACGCACACCATAGGCTTGGTGCGGGGAGCAGGAACAGGCCGGACCGGGCTGGCGACGCGCACCATAGGCTTGTTGCGGGGAGCAGGAACAGGCCGGGCCGGGCTGGCGACGCGCACCATAGGCTTGGTGCGGGGAGCAGGAACAGGCCGGGCCGGGCTGGCGACGCGCACCATAGGCTCGGTGCGGGGAGCAGGAACAGGCCGGGCCGGGCTGACGACACGCACCACAGGCTCGATGCGAGGAACAGGAACAGGCCGGACCATACTGGGGACACACACCACTGGCCCTATGCAGGGATCAGGAACGGGCCGGACCGGACTGGTAACACACCCCAGTACCTCTCACCGTGCCTCCACACTTTCCCTCTCCTCTGTGTGACCAGTGGCCCCCTTAACCTGACGGCCTCCTCTGCAAACCCGCTGGACCGCTCCATCGCGGCCTCCTGCTGCCCCGTCGTCCACGGCGTGAGCCCCCCCCCTAAAAAAATTCTGGGGGTCTCTCCTCCCCGTGGGCCAGGCCTCTATAGTTCTCGCCCAACTCTCGCTCTTCTGTTTCCAACTCCAGCCTCTCTCCTCCTCACATGGCTTGACCCAGTCGAGACTCTTCCTCCACTGCTCCCAAGTCCACCCTCTCTGCTCTTCACTAGGCTTGACCCAGTCGAGGTTGCCACGGAGATCCGCTAGCGATTCCCCTGGCGATGGCTCCTGGACACGCTGCTTGGTCCAGTTTTGGTGGGATCTTCTGTCACGATCGTCGGGAACAGAGGACCAATGCGCAGCGTTGAATGCAAACATATTTATTTAATCTGAACGATAACACGAACAAAACAACAAAACGATAACGTGACGTCCTTAGCTCAAACACAACCTACTAGGAACACGGAACAAGATCCCACAAACACTGAGGGAAAACAGACTGTTTAAATATGGTTCCCAATCAGAGACAACCAGCAACAGCTGACACTCGTTGCCTCTGATTGGGAACCACTCTGGCCAACATAGAAATACAAGACCTAGAATGGAAAACAAAGAACACAAAACATAAACTCTACACATCCTGGCTCAACTTAAAAGAGTCCCTAGAGCCAGGGCGTGACAAATACATGCCTTTGAGTGGTACAGTGCCTTTGTGTCAGTGTGTGTGTGGCTGGTCGATGAAGTGTACAGTGCCTTGCAAAAGTATTTATCCCCCTTGGCGTTTTTCCTATTTTGTTGCATTAAAACTTGTAATTTTAAATGGATTTTTATTTGGATTTCATGTAATGGACATACACAAAATATTCAAAATTGGTGAAGTGAAATTTTAAAAAAATAACTTGTTTCAAAGAATTCTAAAAAATAAATAACGGAAAAGTGGTGCGTGCATATGTATTCACCCCCTTTGCTATGAAGCCCCTAAATAAGATCTGGTGCAACCAATTACCTTCAGAAGTCACATAATTAGTTAGATTGCACACAGGTGGACTTTATATAATATAATAATATATAATATAATATAATGCCATTTAGCAGACGCTTTTATCCAAAGCGACTTACAGTCGTGCGTGCATACATTTTTTTTTGTGTATGGGTGGTCCCGGGGATCGAACCCACTACCTTGGCGTTACAAGCGCCGTGCTCTACCAGCTGAGCTACAGAGGACCATTATTTAAGTTGTCACATGATCTGTCACATGATCTCAGTATATATACACCTGTTCTGAAAGGCCCCAGAGTCTGCAACACCACTAAGCAAGTGGCACCACCAAGCAAGCGGCACCATGAAGACCAAGGAGCTCTCCAAACAGGTCAGGGACAAAGTTGTGGAGAAGTACAGATCAGGGTTAGGTTATAAGCAAATATCAGAAACTTTGAACATCCCACGGAGCACCATTAAATCCATTATTAAAAAATGGAAAGAATATGGCAACACAACAAACCTGCCAAGAGAGGGCCGCCCACCAAAAGGAGGGCATTAATCAGAGAGGCAACAAAGAGACCAAAGATACCCCTGAAGGAGCTGCAAAGCTCCACAGCGGAGATTGGAGTATCTATCCATAGGACCACTTTAAGCCGTACACTCCTCAGAGATGGGCTTTACGGAAGAGTGACCAGAAAAAAGCCATTGCTTAAAGAAAAAAATAAGCAAACACGTTTGGTGTTAGCCAAAAGCCATGTGAGAGAAGGTACTCTGGTCAGATGAGACTAAAATTGAGCTTTTTGGCCATCAAGGAAAACGCTATGTCTGGCGCAAACCCAACACCTCTCATCACCCCGAGAACACCATCCTGCTGTGGGGATGTTTTTTCATCGGCAGGGACTGGGAAACTGGTCAGAATTGAAGGAATGATGGATGGCGCTAAATACAGGGAAATTCTTGAGGGAAACCTGTTTCAGTGTTCCAGAGATTTGAGACTGGGACGGAGGTTCACCTTCCAGCAGGACAATGACCCTAAGCATACTGCTAAAGCAACACTCGAGTGGTTTAAGGGGAAACATTTAAATATCTTGGAAAGTCAAAGCTCAGACCTCAATCCAATGGAGAATCTGTGGTATGACTTAAAGATTGCTGTACACCAGCAGAACCCATCCAACTTGAAGGAGCTGGAGCAGTTTTGCCTTGAAGAATGGGCAAAAATCCCAGTGGCTAGATGTGCCAAGCTTATAGAGACATACCCTAAGAGACTTGCAGCTGTAATTGCTGCAAAAGGTGGCTCTACAAAGTATTGACTTTGGGGGGGTAAATAGTTATGCACGCTCAGGTTTTCAGTTTTTTTTGTCTTATTTCTTGTTTTTTTCACAAGATAAAATATTTTGCATCTTCAAATTGGTAGGCATGTTGTGTAAATCAAATGATACAAACCCCCCAAAAATCCATTTTAATTCCAGGTTGTAAGGAAACAAAATAGGAAAAATGACAAGGGGGGTGAATACTTTCCAAGCCACTGTAGATTAGTACAGCAGACACCACTGCTAGGCTGCTAGGGAACTTCTGGTTCCCAGCCTCTAGCAAACCTCTGGTTCCCAGCCTCTAGCATCCCTCTGGTTCCCAGCTGCTAGCAAACCTCTGGTTCCCAGCCTCTAGCAAACCTCTGGTTCCCAGCCGCTAGCATCCCTCTGGTTCCCAGCTGCTAGCAAACCTCTGGTTCCCAGCCTCTAGCAAACCTCTGGTTCCCAGCCGCTAGCATCCCTCTGGTTCCCAGCTGCTAGCAAACCTCTGGTTCCCAGCTGCTAGCATCCCTCTGGTTCCCAGCCGCTAGCAAACCTCTGGTTCCCAGCTGCTAGCAACCAAAAAAAAAGACATGTTTGCACGTGGCATGCTGAGACGGTGTCATGGCAGAGAGGTGAGGCGGTGGTCTGGAATGAACAGTGTTGTAACATACTATAGACTTAAGGCTCTTTCATGTGTATGACTTCTAACCAGTCAATGGTCTGGCAATTCATGTTTTGAAAGTAATTACATTACATGGTAACTACATTGATATGACATACTAAAATGTAGTGTTTGAATCAATTAAATTCTCCCTTTGTAGAAATCGAGAGAATCCAGAAAGGTGAGCCCAAAAAGGAGGGAGGAGACACGTACCTGGACCTCTTCACTGTCAAGAATATCAAACTGAAGGAACGTGTGCTCATACCTGTCAAACAGTATCCAAGGGTAAGCCTTCTCCCTCCTCAAACATCTCCTCTTTTGTCCTCTCTTTCATTCAGCAGCTTGAATTACCTGGGCGTCTGGGAGTATGCTGGCTCTCAACCATGCTTTAGGGACTCGGAGGGAGGTAACACATTTCACAGTAATATGCTTCCCCCGAGGGACAACGATCAGCTTTTAATAGATTTCCTGGTCCGTCATTATTGTAAGTGGCACTAAAACTCTGTATTTACATGGTGATTACATGGTTGGCATTACTTTGCACAGTGTAACCACAGTGTGTGTGTGTGTGTGTGTGTGTGTGTGTGTGTGTGTGTGTGTGTGTGTGTGTGTGTGTGTGTGTGTGTGTACAACCATTCTACCAGTCTACGGCTTGTACAATTGTTCCGTTGCCTAGTTCCTTACACTAGTGAAGGTCTTCCACATTTGTATTGGAAAAGGAGATGTGACCCACACTGAAACACTGTGCTTTAAGCAACAAGTACAGAACACACAGCACCTCCTCAACACTCTAGAAGCAACAAGTACAGAACACACAGCACCTTCTCAACACTCTAGAAGCAACAAGTACAGAACACACAGCACCTTCTCAACACTCTAGAAGCAACAAGTACAGAACACACAGCACCTCCTCAACACTCTAGAAGCAACAAGTACAGAACACACAGCACCTTCTCAACACTCTAGAAGCAACAAGTACAGAACACACAGCACCTCCTCAACACTCTGGAAGCAACAAGTACAGAACACGCAGCACCTTCTCAACACTCTAGAAGCAACAAGTACAGAACACACAGCACCTTCTCAACACTCTAGAAGCAACAAGTACAGAACACACAGCACCTTCTCAACACTCTAGAAGCAACAAGTACAGAACACACAGCACCTTCTCAACACTCTAGAAGCAACAAGTACAGAACACACAGCACCTCCTCAACACTCTAGAAGCAACAAGTACAGAACACACAGCACCTTCTCAACACTCTAGAAGCAACAAGTACAGAACACACAGCACCTTCTCAACACTCTAGAAGCAACAAGTACAGAACACACAGCACCTCCTCAACACTCTAGAAGCGATAAGTACAGAACACACATCACCTTCTCAACACTCTAGAAGCGACAAGTACAGAACACGCAGCACCTCCTCAACACTCTAGAAGCGACAAGTACAGAACACACAGCACCTCCTCAACACTCTAGAAGCAACAAGTACAGAACACACAGCACCTTCTCAACACTCTAGAAGCAACAAGTACAGAACACACAGCACCTCCTCAACACTCTAGAAGCAACAAGTACAGAACACGCAGCACCTTCTCAACACTCTAGAAGCAACAAGTACAGAACACGCAGCACCTTCTCAACACTCTAGAAGCAACAAGTACAGAACACGCAGCACCTCCTCAACACTCTAGAAGCAACAAGTACAGAACACGCAGCACCTTCTCAACACTCTAGAAGCAACAAGTACAGAACACACAGCACCTTCTCAACACTCTAGAAGCAACAAGTACAGAACACACAGCACCTTCTCAACACTCTAGAAGCAACAAGTACAGAACACGCAGCACCTTCTCAACACTCTAGAAGCAACAAGTACAGAACACGCAGCACCTTCTCAACACTCTAGAAGCAACAAGTACAGAACACACAGCACCTCCTCAACACTCTAGAAGCAACAAGTACAGAACACACAGCACCTCCTCAACACTCTAGAAGCAACAAGTACAGAACACACAGCACCTTCTCAACACTCTAGAAGCAACAAGTACAGAACACACAGCACCTTCTCAACACTCTAGAAGCAACAAGTACAGAACACACAGCACCTTCTCAACACTCTAGAAGCAACAAGTACAGAACACACAGCACCTCCTCAACACTCTAGAAGCAACAAGTACAGAACACACAGCACCTTCTCAACACTCTAGAAGCAACAAGTACAGAACACACAGCACCTTCTCAACACTCTAGAAGCAACAAGTACAGAACACACAGCACCTCCTCAACACTCTAGAAGCAACAAGTACAGAACACACAGCACCTCCTCAACACTCTAGAAGCAACAAGTACAGAACACACAGCACCTTCTCAACACTCTAGAAGCAACAAGTACAGAACACACAGCACCTTCTCAACACTCTAGAAGCAACAAGTACAGAACACACAGCACCTCCTCAACACTCTAGAAGCAACAAGTACAGAACACACAGCACCTTCTCAACACTCTAGAAGCAACAAGTACAGAACACACAGCACCTTCTCAACACTCTAGAAGCAACAAGTACAGAACACACAGCACCTTCTCAACACTCTAGAAGCAACAAGTACAGAACACACAGCACCTTCTCATCACTCTAGAAGCAACAAGTACAGAACACACAGCACCTCCTCAACACTCTAGAAGCAACAAGTACAGAACACACAGCACCTTCTCAACACTCTAGAAGCAACAAGTACAGAACACACAGCACCTTCTCAACACTCTAGAAGCAACAAGTACAGAACACGCAGAATCTTCTCAACACTCTAGAAGCAACAAGTACAGAACACGCAGCACCTTCTCAACACTCTAGAAGCAACAAGTACAGAACACGCAGCACCTTCTCAACACTCTGGAAGCAACAAGTACAGAACACGCAGCACCTTCTCAACACTCTAGAAGCAACAAGTACAGAACACGCAGCACCTTCTCAACACTCTAGAAGCAACAAGTACAGAACACACAGCACCTTCTCAACACTCTAGAAGCAACAAGTACAGAACACACAGCACCTTCTCAACACTCTAGAAGCAACAAGTACAGAACACACAGCACCTCCTCAACACTCTAGAAGCAACAAGTACAGAACACACAGCACCTTCTCAACACTCTAGAAGCAACAAGTACAGAACACACAGCATCTTCTCAACACTCTAGAAGCAACAAGTACAGAACACACAGCACCTTCTCAACACTCTAGAAGCAACAAGTACAGAACACACAGCACCTTCTCAACACTCTAGAAGCAACAAGTACAGAACACACAGCACCTCCTCAACACTCTAGAAGCAACAAGTACAGAACACACAGCACCTTCTCAACACTCTAGAAGCAACAAGTACAGAACACACAGCACCTTCTCAACACTCTAGAAGCAACAAGTACAGAACACGCAGCATCTTCTCAACACTCTAGAAGCAACAAGTACAGAACACACAGCACCTTCTCAACACTCTAGAAGCAACAAGTACAGAACACGCAGCACCTTCTCAACACTCTGGAAGCAACAAGTACAGAACACACAGCACCTTCTCAACACTCTAGAAGCAACAAGTACAGAACACACAGCACCTTCTCAACACTCTAGAAGCAACAAGTACAGAACACACAGCACCTTCTCAACACTCTAGAAGCAACAAGTACAGAACACGCAGCATCTTCTCAACACTCTAGAAGCAACAAGTACAGAACACACAGCACCTTCTCAACACTCTAGAAGCAACAAGTACAGAACACGCAGCACCTTCTCAACACTCTGGAAGCAACAAGTACAGAACACACAGCACCTTCTCAACACTCTAGAAGCAACAAGTACAGAACACGCAGCACCTTCTCAACACTCTAGAAGCAACAAGTACAGAACACACAGCACCTTCTCAACACTCTAGAAGCAACAAGTACAGAACACACAGCACCTCCTCAACACTCTAGAAGCAACAAGTACAGAACACACAGCACCTTCTCAACACTCTAGAAGCAACAAGTACAGAACACACAGCACCTCCTCAACACTCTAGAAGCAACAAGTACAGAACACACAGCACCTTCTCAACACTCTAGAAGCAACAAGTACAGAACACACAGCACCTTCTCAACACTCTAGAAGCAACAAGTACAGAACACACAGCACCTTCTCAACACTCTAGAAGCAACAAGTACAGAACACAGAGCACCTCCTCAGCACTCTAGAAGCAACAAGTACAGAACACACAGCACCTTCTCAACACTCTAAATAGTCTTATGCCTCCCTGCACCCTGATATACACAATTAACCATCCACTGGGCAAAAACCGGTTGAATCAACGTTGTTTCCACGTCATTTCAACAAAAACATTCAATGTGCTGACATTGAATCAAGGTTGAAAACTGATTAGATTAGAAAGAAGTCATCAACGTCTTTTTTTCACCCAACTTTTAACTAAAATCTTTTGATTTCACGTTCAAATTCACATTAATTGACAACTCAACCAAATGTAAATTAAAAACTAGACGTTAAAATTACGTCTGTGCCCAGTGGGATGTAGAAATTGAATTGTTAGGCTATGATTATTTTATAGATATCCTGTAATGTTTAAACAGGTTTCATTTGTCGGCTGACCCGGTCTTGTTTGGCCTTACCCAAGTAACATACCAACACCTCCAGCCATGTGCTTCCCTGCACGCTGTTACACAAGGAACCATGGAGATATTCTGTAGTCTAAACCTGTCTTGTTTTGTCCTGTTTCCAGTTCAACTTTGTGGGAAAGATTCTTGGCCCTCAGGGCAACACAATCAAACGCCTTCAGGAGGAGACTGGGGCCAAGATCTCTGTACTGGGCAAAGGTTCCATGAGGGACAAAGCCAAGGTGAGAGAGCTGATGTGTACTTCGCACACCTGCTACCCACCTGTTTCACACCCACCTGTGTATAGGTGCGAGACAAAGCCAGTAGATGACATCATTATGCAACCTGTTATCATGCTTGTTTTACACCTGTCATATAAAGCTGTACACCTGACATGTCACAGCTAGCTATCTATCGTACACGTATCATATAGCTGTGTCAGACATCTGTCAGACACTCGTCATACCCTTGATGAGGGGAGATACCTAGGTATATGCTGTATGATAATGACGTACATACACTACCAGTCAAAAGTTTGGACACACCTACTCATTCCAGGGTTTTTCTTAATTTTTTACTATCTTCTACATATTAGAATAATAGTGAAGACATCAAAACTATGAAATAACACATATGGAATCATGTAGTAACCCCAAAAAAGTGTTAAACAAATCAAAATATATTTTATATTTGAGATTCTTCAAATTAGCCAAACTTTTGACTGGTATTGTATGTAAAGCAATCTGTTACACACCTGTGGGAAGAGGGAGAACCTCTACCACACACCAGTATCTGGCCACAGCTGTCTTTACACCTGAGGGAGGGAATCTGGCCACAGCTGTCTTTACACCTGAGGGAGGGAATCTGGCCACAGCTGTCTTTACACCTGAGGGAGGGAATCTGGCCACAGCTGTCTTTACACCTGAGGGAGGGAATCTGGCCACAGCTGTCTTTACACCTGAGAGAGGGAATCTGACCACAGCTGTCTTTACACCTGAGGGAGGGAATCTGGCCACAGCTGTCTTTACACCTGAGGGAGGGAATCTTGCCACAGCTGTCTTTACACCTGAGGGAGGGAATCTGGCCACAGCTGTCTTTACACCTGAGGGAGGGAATCTGACCACAGCTGTCTTTACACCTGAGGGAGGGAATCTGGCCACAGCTGTCTTTACACCTGAGGGAGGGAATCTGACCACAGCTGTCTTTACACCTGAGGGAGGGAATCTGACCACAGCTGTCTTTACACCTGAGGGAGGGAATCTGACCACAGCTGTCTTTACACCTGAGGGAGGGAATCGGCCACAGCTGTCTTTACACCTGAGGAGGGAATCTGACCACAGCTGTCTTTACACCTGAGGGAGGGAATTGGCCACAGCTGTCTTTACACCTGAGGGAGGAATCTGGCCACAGCTGTCTTTACACACTGGAGGGAGGAATCTGACCACAGCTGTCTTACACCTGAGGGAGGGAATCTGGCCACAGCTGTCTTTACACCTGATGGAGGGAATCTGGCCACAGCTGTCTTTACACCTGAGGGAGGGAATCTTGCCACAGCTGTCTTTACACCTGAGGGAGGGAATCTGACCACAGCTGTCTTTACACCTGAGGGAGGGAATCTGGCCACAGCTGTCTTTGCACCTGAGGGAGGGAATCTGACCACAGCTGTCTTTACACCTGAGGGAGGGAATCTGGCCACAGCTGTCTTTACACCTGAGGGAGGGAATCTGGCCACAGCTGTCTTTACACCTGAGGGAGGGAATCTGACCACAGCTGTCTTTACACCTGAGGGAGGGAAAATCTGGCCACAGCTGTCTTTACAACCTGATGGAGGGAATCTGGCCACAGCTGTCTTTACACCTGAGGGAGGGATCTGGACCACAGCTGTCTTTACACCTGAGGGAGGGAATCTGGCCACAGCTGTCTTTACACCTGATGGAGGGAATCTGGCCACAGCTGTCTTTACACCTGAGGGAGGGAATCTGGCCACAGCTGTCTTTACACCTGAGGGAGGGAATCTGGCCACAGCTGTCTTTACACCTGAGGGAGGGAATCTGGGCCACAGCTGTCTTTCCACCTGAGGGAGGAATCTGGGCCACAGCTGTCTTTACACCTGAGGGAGGGAATCTGGCCAACAGCTGTCCTTTAACACCTGAGGGAGGGAATCTGACCACAGCTGTCTTTACACCTGAGGGAGGGAATCTGACCACAGCTGTATTTACACCTGAGGGAGGGAATCTGGCCACAGCTGTCTTTACACCTGAGGGAGGGAATCTGGCCACAGCTGTCTTTACACCTGAGGGAGGGAATCTGACCACAGCTGTCTTTACACCTGAGGGAGGGTATCTGGCCACAGCTGTCTTTACACCTGAGGGAGGGAATCTTGCCACAGCTGTCTTACACCTGAGGGAGGGAATCTGGCCACAGCTGTCTTTACACCTGAGGGAGGGAATCTGACCACAGCTGTCTTTACACCTGAGGGAGGGAATCTGGCCACAGCTGTCTTTACACCTGAGGGAGGGAATCTGACCACAGCTGTCTTTACACCTGAGGGAGGGAATCTGACCACAGCTGTCTTTACACTGGGGAGGGCCACAGCTGTCTTTACACCTGAGGGAGGGAATCTGGCCACAGCTGTCTTTACACCTGAGGGAGGGAATCTGGCCACAGCTGTCTTTACACCTGAGGGCGGGAATCTGGCCACAGCTGCCTTTACACCTGAGGGAGGGAATCTGGCCACAGCTGTCTTTACACCTGAGGGAGGGAATCTGACCACAGCTGTCTTTACACCCGAGGGAGGGAATCTGGCCACAGCTGTCTTTACACCTGAGAGAGGGAATCTGGCCACAGCTGCCTTTACAACTGAGGGAGAGAATCTGGCCACAGCTGTCTTTACACCTGAGGGAGGGAATCTGGAGACTGCTGTTTTACACCTGTATGAAGGGATGGTGAGATGCACCTGCCTAGTCCTGAAAGTGAGGGTAGATGTATCTCACCTGGTTAACCTCTACGGGATCGGTGTCCCGTATACGGGACGGTTGAGCTAACGTGCGCTAATGTGATTAGCGTGACTGTTGTAAGTAACAGCAAACTTTCCAGGACATAGACATGTCTTATATGGGCAGAAAGCTTAAATTATTGTTAATCTAACTGCACTGTCCAATTTACAGTAGCTATTACAGTGAAAAAAGACCATGCTATTGTTTGAGGAGAGTGCACAACAACAACTAAAACATATCACAGCAACTGGTTTGATACATTCACCTCTGAAGGTAAATAATTAAATTTTAGTCATTTAGCAGACACTCTTATCCAGAGCGACTTACAGTTAGTGAGTGCATACATTTTTTCATACTGGCCCCCCGTGGGAATCGAACCCACAACCCTGGCGTTGCAAGCGCCATGCTCTACCAACTGAGCTACATGCTCTACCAACTTGCTCTGATTTGTCATCCTAAGGGTCCCAGAGATACAATGTAGCATAGTTCTGTTTGATAAAGTTTTTATATTCAAATGTAGGAACTGGGTTGTACATTTTGAACCCCTGCTGTCTCTGGCTCCACACCCACCACGCCCGGCCATCTAGATGTGTGAAAGTTAGTGTATAAGCTAATGATCCATCATGTATGACATTCCTGGGAGTGTGTAAACTTACATTTTGTATTACCATATCATTTTTGTATGTTCTCTATAGTTATGTACTTGAAAATGTATCAATTGACCAATTTGGCACATTTATGGCAGACTTGTTACAAAATAGTCCAGTATTGCAACGCTTCACTGGATCAATCTAAAACTTTGCACACACACTGCTGCCATCTAGTGGCCAAAATCTAAATTGCGCCTAAACTGCAACGTTATATTGTGGCCTTTCTCTTGCATTTCAAAGATGATGGAGAAAAATATATATAATAGAAAATGCATGTTTTTTTGTTTGTATTATCTTTTACCAGATCTAATGTGTTAAATTCTCCTACATTCATTTCACATTTCCACAAACTGCAAAGTGTTTCCTTTCAAATGGTATCAAGAATATGCATATCCTTGCTTCAGGTCCTGAGCTACAGGCAGTTAGATTTGGGTATGTCATTTTAGGCAACAACAAAAAAAGGGTCCGATCCTTAAGAGGTTAACACCTTTTTTAGATTTTGAACTGTCCATGGTCACCTGATAAAGGGCATGTTGTCTAAAAGACTGTCATAGGTTACATAGACCCAGACCGAGGTTGCTTGTCTTCCTCAATAACCTCTTGAACTGTCCCTGTGTTGTGTTTCAGGAGGAGGGCCTGAGGAAAGGTGGCGAGCCCAAGTACGCGCACCTGTCTATGGAGCTGCATGTCTTCATCGAGGTGTTCGCCCCCGTGCCCGAGGCCTACCTACGCATGGCACACGCCATGGAGGAAGTCAAGAAGTTCCTCTTTCCTGTGAGTGGAATATCCTCTGAAGTGTGGTCGTTCTGTAAGATGCAGTATTTTATCCCTTTATTTGTCTGCAGTACACTCTAAAAAAGAAAGGTGCAAGTTGGAACAAAATAAGGTTTTTTGAGAGTGATGCCACAGGGGAACAATTTTTAGGCTCTCTGAAGAACCATAAATGGGATGGTTCTTTTGAAGAACCATACAAGAAATGTTTCGGCCCTATCGGGACCAGAATTGAATAGCCCTGCTGTAGGGTTTTAAGCCTTATTTGCATATTTCCCAGGGTGCCTTTCGAGTGAATTTTAAAGTTACCAGTACCACCCCATGACTGTTTGCTAGTGACAGAGACATGTTTGTAACATTCATTCATTTTCAGTCCTGTGGATCTTCACCAAGTGAGATCCTAAGTGAATATGTTATCATTACAAATTACATTCTTTAATATGATCCAATACATATTTCATAAGGTCTTCTTTTAAGGGCCTAGTTTTACCCTAATACTGTGGGCTAAAACTGATCATTTACAGGCCACATCAAACTGCATGTCACATTATGCTGGCTTGCAGTGACCCTGTAATTCCTATTGGAATCCAGCCAGAGTGGGGATATCCAACATTTGGAATTTTGTATTCACCCGCAACCTGCATTCAAAATGACTGCCAGGGTTAGGAAGTAACTAATAAGTGAGACTACCTAAACCATATCATCTGGAACAAACCATTTCAGTAACGGGTGCAATAAGTCCAAGTAACCGATTTTGGGATGGTTTACAGAAAACGTATGTTATTTATATTTGAGTAGCATAAGATTAATGAATCAATCAATTTCCATGCAAAAACATAGATATTAAAACAAACAATTCTAAAAAATCTACCTGCAATAGAGCATGCTGGGAAATATAATAATGATGTGTGTGGTTTTGTTTGAACAGTGGTTATTAACACCAATACTGGGGTTATTTTACACCACTGAGTGGTTAATGTAACTCATAACAGTGTTAATTTAACTGTTGAATCCACACTAGAAATGTTACACTGAAAAAGCAACACTAGTTAACGCTTGCCAATGTGCTGTGTGCTATGAAAGGGACACATCTGCAGAATTCCGAAGAACCGTTGATGCCACGTCAAGAACCCCACACTTAACTCAAAGGTTCTTTATCGGGCAAGAGTTCTCCAGGGAACCTTAAGAGCTGAGGAAGAACCATTTAAGAACCTTTATTTTTTTCAGTGTACCGTGTCTAGTATTTTTAGTAGACAACTGCAGGTTACTTTTCAGGACACAAAGAAATGGTCATTCTTTGTATGAAATGGTTTTGATACCTAGAGTTATCATATGGTATTGATTGGTCTGTTTGAGCAATACAACACAATACACCGAGCAAGCACCACATCAGTAGATGGACTGGCCGACAGTGTGTCTGTTTACCTGGAATAACCAGCTTTGATAGGGCAGCGAGCCTAAGCCTATAAGCAATCAGCTTAACAGGAAGTGGGTCACTTTCACCGTGCCAGCAGGACGGCCCCATATGGCTCTAAATGTCCGTAAGCCTCCTGCGTTAGAAGAGGATGAGGAGGAGGCGCGGTGCTGCCACCAGACACTCATCCAACTGCAGAGGTACACCTGGGGCATCGTAAAAACAGTAGGTTAACTGCTTCACTGGATGCGTAACTATGCCAGCATGAGAAGAATTCTTGAAAATAGAATAGAGCGTAATTTTCCACTCAGCAGTGAGAACCGCTCGTGAAGCTGTGCTGCCTACAACCAGGTTTAAGGTCTGTTGTTCTTCTACCCTGCGACAGGGGACCTATAGAGCGTGCAGGTTTTTGTTCCAGCTCAGCATGAACACAAGTCAGGTCTGCAAATGGAGGTAGTGTTGTCCATCCCTGGTCCAGGGGACCTAGAGAATGTGCAGGTTTTTGTTTCCGGCCCATCACTTAGCTCTGACGTGCAACCATACTAAGGCAAAAAATTATATTGTTGCGTTTTTCACTTTAGAATGTGTACCAAACAAAAAAACATTGATTTCAAAGTTTTAAAAAACCATAGAACTCTGCACAAGTACAAAAACACATTTACAGGAAGAAGTGTGCACATACAAAGTTTGTAAATTAATAAAACTGAGGGGGATTTTACCGTAATTCTGTTACCAAACTTTACATCTGCACAGTTTTTCCAGTAAATGTTTTATTTTTGTTTTATTTACTGTGTAAATTGTTAAAATTAGTCATTGGACATAGAGTTGTATGATTTGTAAAACTTTGAAATCAATGGTTTTTGTTTGGCAAACATTTTTTAAAGTGAAATATTTGAGCCCGCGTAATTCTCCAACCGGGGAATTGCTCTCATTGGTCTACTAGCTCAGATGTGTGGTTGTTGAACGAGTGTTAACGGCAACAATGGCTGACAGTAAAATACTCTGACGTCATGCACTGTAACGTGCTGCAGTATGACGCACCTTTTAAATGAGGACCCACTGACAACCACAGACCACGTGTAACCACGCCAGCCCAGGACCTCCACATCCGGCTTCTTCACCTGCGCGATCGTCTCAGACCAGCGACCCGAACAGCTGATGAAACTGAGGCGTAATTTCCGTCTGTAATAAAGCCCTTTTGTGGGGAAAAACTCATTCTGATTGGCTGGGCCTTGCTCCCCCAGTGGGTGGGCCTATGCCCTCCCAGGCCCACCCCATGGCTGCACCCCTGCTCAGTCATGTGAAATACATAGATTAGGGCCTAATGCATTTATTTCAATTGACTCATTTCCTTATGTGAACTGTAACTCAGTAAAATAGTTGCATGTTGCATTTTAATTTTTGTTCAGTATAATTACCTTTCCTCCCTCATCTTCCCTCCTTCCGTTTTTACTACCAACCTTCTCCCTTTGTCTGTCCTCTTTCTCCCCCCTCTTCTCTCTCTCCGTGCAGGACATGATGGATGACATCTGTCAGGAACAGTTCATGGAGATGGGTTATCTGAATGGGGGCCAGGAGCACGGACCAGGGGCCCCACGAGGCAGAGGACCACCGGGCCCTAGGGGCCGAGGAGGGCCACCGGGACAACCAGGGGCACCCAGGTAACCAGACAGACTCGGGATGATATTAATCAAGGTGGCTGATGAGAAGTGATTGTCTGGTCTATCTACGGTATGTTTGATCAAATAACACTTCTCCCTCTGTCTCTTTTCCTTCTTCCTCTCTCTGCATTCTCCTTCTCCACTCACTCTCGCTTGCTTGCTCTGTCTCTCTCTCTTTCTCCCTCCATCTCTCCAGGGGTAGGGGTATGCCCCAACGTGGAGGTGCCACCAGGGGAGGTCCAGCCAGAGGCGGGGTAGCGAGGGGGGCACCAGCAGGAAGAGGGGGACATCCAGCAACCCCCGCCAGAGGGGCAGCAGCGCCCCGAACCAGACTCCCTGCCCCTGGGGGGCCACCGAGGATGCCCCCTCCACCCCCCCACCAACACCAACATGCCCCAGCACCTGAACAATATGAGGAATATGTGAGTTATTATTCCATGACGTTTAACACAACCTTTTTAGGGTCTTAACATCTCTTACATGTTTAATATTATCTAGCTGATTTTAGTAAAAAAAAAAAAAAAAGTTTATAATGATGAAGTTACATTGTAACAATGCCCATACTACAATTCAGAGAACACGTATGGTCAACCCTTCACCGTGTAACGGTTTGAAGCATGTAATGAACAATTAAGAGTTTAATCCGGTTATTTATTTAACCTAAATTTATCCAGGTTATTCCCATGCTGAGTTGAACTCTATTTTACCAGGGAGATCAGATCTAGGCCAAGACAGCAGTAATAGCGGGAACCGACTAGTAATGTGTTATTGTAGAGAGCATATCGAGTGAAGCAACAGCCTTGCCAGGTCTACCTTTTTATAAGACGGTTGGTACAATGGCAAATGAATGACATTTTAAGAACTACCCTTGTTATATTTGGATTCACCTTTATTTTATGTACCTCTGGGTTAAAGTTTGGTAATGGCAGCTCAGTTGTTACGGTGACCGTATTACCGCCACACCGGCGGTCACGACTCGTGACCGTAGTCAAATTCAATGTGACTGTTTAGTCATGGTAACTAGGCTTCTCCAAAACTGTGCTCTGATGTTCATTAGTAGCCAATGTTTAACTGCCAGTCACTAATGGCCTGATACTCAGCACTCTATTGTCCCTCTAATCACTGACATCAAACATCTTCATGAGAGCCCATGAGCTCGTGTTGTGCAACATTTCTACAGGCTATGCAATTGCGTGAAAAAATAATTGACATGGCCTCTATTAAAAAGAGGATCATCCCATCAGCTTTCTATAGGCTAGGCCTACATCTACATCATTTAGCAGACACTCTTATCCATCCTTACAGTTAGTGAGTGCATACATTTTTATTTTTCATACTGGCCCCCCGTGGGAATCGAACCCACAACCCTGGCGGCCATTCCCTCCCCTACCCTGGGCCAATTGTGCGCCGCCCCATGGGTCTCCCGGTCGCGGCCGGCTACGACAGAGCCTGGATTCGAACCAGGATCTTTAGTGGCACAGCTAGCACTGCGATGCAGTGCCTTAGACCACTGTGCCACTCGGGATAAGCCTACTATATTTATTTCTCAACTTTCCTAATATTAAGGATTTTTCTTAATTTTTTACTATTTTCTACCTTGTAGAATAATAGTGAAGACATCAAAACTATGAAATAACACATATGGAATCATGTGTTAACCAAAAAAGTGTTAAATAAATCTAAATATACTTTATATTCTTCAAACTAGCCACCCTTTGCCTTGATGACAGCTTTGCACACTCTTGGCATTCTCTCAACTAGCTTCACCTGGGATGCTTTTCCAACAGTCTTTAAGGAGTTCCCACATATGCTGAGCAATTGTTGGCTGCTTTTCCTTCACTCTAAGGTCCAACTCATCCCAAACCATCTCAATTGGTTAGAGGTCGGGTGATTGTGGAGGCCAGGTCATCTGATGCAGCACTCTATCACTCTCCTTCTTGGTAAAATATATCTTACACAGCCTGGAGGTGTGTTGGGTCATTGTCCTGTTGAAAAAAAAAGTGATAGTCCCACTAAGCCCAAACCAGATGGGATGACATATCGCTGCAGAATGCTGTGGTAGCCATGCTGGTTAAGTGTGCCTTGAATTCTAAATAAATCACAGACAGTGTCACCAGTAAAGCACCCCCACACCATAACACCACCACATCCATGCTTTACGGTGGGAACTACACATGCGGAGATCATCCGTTCACCTACTCTGCATCTCACAAAGACACTGCGGTTGGAACCAAAAATCTCAAATTTGGACTCCAGTCCAAAGGACAGATTTCCATCGGTCTAATGTCCATTGCTCGTGTTTCTTGGCCCAAGCAAGTCTCTTCTTATTATTGGTGTCCTTTAGTAGTGGTTTCTTTGCAGCAATTCGACCATGAAGGCCTGATTCACGCAGTCTCCTCTGAACAGTTGATGTTGAGATGTGTCTGTTACTTGAACTCTGTGTAGCATTTATTTGGGCTGCAATTTCTGAGGCTGGTAACTCTAATGAACTTATCCGCCGCTGCAGAGGTAACTCTGGGTCTTCCATTCCTGTGGCTGTCCTCATGAGAGCCAGTTTCATCATAGCGCTTGATGGTTTTTACGATTGCACTTGAAGAAACTTTCAAAGTTCTTCAAATGTTCCGTATTGACTGACCTTCATGTCTTAAAGTAATTATGGACTGTCGTTTGTCTTTGCTTTTTTGATCTGTTCTTGCATAATATGGACTTGGTCTTTTACCAAATAGGGCCATCTTCTGTAGAGTGCCTTGCAAAAGTATTCATCCCCCTTGGCGTATTTCCTATTTTGTTGCATTACAACATGTAATATAAATGGATTTGTATTTGGATTTCATGTAGTGGACATACACAAAATAGTCTAAATTGGCGAAGTGAAATTAAAATAATAACTTGTTTCAAAGAATTCGAAAAAATAAATAATGGAAAAGTTGTGCGTCCATATATATTCACCCCCTTTGCTATGAAGACCCTAAATAAGATCTGGTGCAACCAATTACATTCAGAAGTCACATCATTATTTAAATAACGTCCACTTGTGTGCAATCTAAGTGTCACATGATCTCAGTGTACATATACACCTGTTCTGAAAGGCCCCAGAGTCTGCAACACCACTAAGCAAGGGGCACCACCAAGCAAGCGGCACCATGAAGACCAAGGAGCTCTCCAAACAGGTCAGGGACAAAGTTGTGGAGAAGTACAGATCAGGGTTGGGTTATAAAAAATATCTGAAACTTTGAACATTCCACGTAGCACCATTAAATCCATTATTAAAAAATTGAAAGAATATGGCACCACAACAAACCTGCCAAGAGAGGGCCGCCCACCAAAACTTACGGACCAGGCAAGGAGGGCATTAATCAGAGAGGCAACAAAGAGAGCAAAGATTACCCTGAAGGAGCTGCAAAGCTCCACAGCGGAGATTGGAGTATCAGTCCATAGGACCACTTTAAGCCATACACTCCACAGAGCTGGACTTTACGGAAGAGTGGCCAGAAAAAAAGCCATTGCTTAAAGAAAAATATAAGAAAACACGTGTGGTGTTCGCCAAAAGCCATGTGGGAGACTCCCCAAACATATGGAAGAAGGTACTCTGGTCAGATGAGACAAAAATTGAGCTTTTTGGCCATCAAGGTAAACGCTATGTCTGGCGCAAACCCAACACCTCTCATCACCCCGAGGGGACTGGGAAACTGGTCAGATTTGAAGGAATGATGGATGGTGCTAAATACAGGGAAATTCTTGAGGGAAACCTGTTTCAGTCTTCCAGAGATTTGAGACTGGGACGGAGGTTTACCCTCCAGCAGGACAATTTTAATTCCAGGTTGTAAGGCAACAAAATAGGAAAAATGCCAAGGGGGGTGAATACTTTCCAAGCCACTGTAGATTAGTACAGCAGACACCACTGCTTTCCCCTACCACAACACAACTAATTGGCTCAAATTCATTAAGAAGGAAAGAAATTCCACAAATTAACTTTTAACAAGGCACATCTGTTAATTGAAATGCATTCCAGGTGACTACCTGGTTGAGTGAATGCCAAGCGTGTTCAAAGCTGTTATCAATTATAAAAATCAATTATAAAATATATTTTGATTTGTTTAACACGTTTTTGGTTGCTACATCATTCCATATGTGTTATTTCATTGTTTTGATGTCTTCATTATTATTCTACAATGTAGAAAATAGTACAAAATTAAGAAAAACCCTTGAATGAGTAGGTGTGTCACAACATTTGACTGGTACCGTATATTATTTAGTATACTGTATGTAAAGACAAGATTAAATTGAGAATAGTCTGATGGGTGACAATATTATCAGTTGAATGATGTATTATCATTTGTGAATTATGCCCAGTGTGTGCAGTCTTAAGGCAAGAAACACTGCATGCCTTTTCTTTGCGACTTTTTAAACTCATAGTCACACACATCATGTAGCTTAGCCCTATATTTTTTTCATAATAACTCCAGACGTAGCCGATAGCCTATGGCTAGTACCACTGGAACACGGTTGGAGAGCACATAGCCTACATAGCCTAGTGAAATGTGTTCTTATAAGCCCAGTCATTGCTCAATCACGTGTGAAAAGATTTCTGACTGGCCACTATTTAAAAGAGGATCCCAGCTTTCTCGTGCTGCTATATTTATTGCTCAATAAAAAATAAAAAAATTTGAGTACATTAATCCGCTTAATCAGCTTAGTGGCGCATAAGTTTCAAGTTTGGGGAAGCTAATTTTCACCATAAAAATGCACCTTTATAATAAAGCATTCCATGCATCATAGCATTTGCAGACTTTTGTAAGAGAACCTACTATTCGTAATGTGATGTAGATTGGATAGTCATAATTCAGGCTAATAATATAACTCACAAAAAAAAGACAGTTCAATGCATGGCTGAGCGTTTATAGAGTAGGGCTATAGGCTACATCATATACGTTTCTTCTTTCTTTGCACGGGAAAAATCTGGCCTTTTATTAACACCACGCGATTCTACTACACTTTATATGACTGGAGACATTAGCAGAATCTTTTTTAATACGACAAATTACAGGGTAGTCTTACTCTGCTGACGCTGACAAACTGATTTTAATAAAAAGGTTGCCTATGAGAAGAGGAGACGCAAATACAGTGGGGAAAAAAAGTATTTAGTCACCACTTAAAAAGATGAGAGAGGCCTGTAATTTTCATCATAGGTAAACGTCAACTATGACAGACAAAATGAGAAGGAAAAAAATCCAGAAAATCACATTGTAGGATTTTTTATGAATTGTCCATCTAAACTGGAGGAGGAAGTTATTGTCCTAAAGCAAACTCTAAGTAGCACTGACCCAACAATGAGAAATAGTGAATATGTTTAATTTAAAGCTGAACTTCCCCTATCCTTATGGACACACCGCCTATGCTTGCATGTTAAAAGCATAACACACGTAACCTCCATTCCAGTGCAGGCTATGGATAATTTTTTTTTTTTTTTTTTTGGGCCATTCTAAATCTAAATAATTCCACAAATTATATTAGTAAATATGTAAAGACCAGATTAAACTGAGAATAGTCTGATGGGGTGAGAATATTATCAAGTGCTTGTCAAATTGTGAATGAGAGACTGATGAAGTGTGTACAGCCTGCGTAAGAAACAGAGCAGAGCGCTTCCCTTTCATGAGACTTTTTTCAAATCATCATTCTTCACATTTTTTATTTTATTTTTTATTTTATTTCACCTTTATTTAACCAGGTAAGCCTTAGAATGTATTATAAATCCAAACATATAGCCTAACGTTTGTATCACAACTAAAGGTGCGTGAATAACTCTTAATTAAGTATATATTGTAGGATCTCTTTCTTTGTTAACAGCTCCACACAGAATAGCCGCATGTGCGCACTCCCTCAGAAATCGTTTGGGGAAAAATATCCATTCTATTTTATTCAGCGATGTTCAATTGTATTCTCTATAATATAAAATAATGCCATGGAATTCTAAGCAAATCTTGTCTGCTAAATGAACTAGTGTAGCCCACAGCCATATGGCATAGCCAGATCAGTGCCTAACATAAGGACAACTCAGAGTATGCTATTCTGTTCTTCTGAAATAGGCTACGTTTTCTTCACATCGTGTTTCTTTAGACCTGTCTAAAATAAATAATGGCTTTATTGTGATGGTGTAGGCTATATTACATGGATTTATTAGACTTTTTTAAATGTAGATGTTCTAAAGGTCCGCATCAGTGGCTTGTAGGCTATGCTTGGAAGCGAGGAGATGCTAAACGTGTTTATGTTAACGGTGGATTACCGTGAGACCGGCAGTTATTTGCATGACAATCACAGGCGGACAACATTTCATGACCGCCACAGCCCTACTCAGTACCTCAGGGTTAAGGTTTGGTAATGGCAGCTCAGTACCTCAGGGTTAAGGTAATGGCAGCTCATGGTACACAGCATTGCAGTAAAACAATGCTCCATTGACAGACTGAGTCCTTAGTTAATAGAAGCTTAATCTTTGCCAACTTATTTACAGTCGAGATCTCACACATCAACAGGTGAATGAAATTCAGTTCACAGGCCAAGGATGACCTGAAGGAATGCTTTTCTCACAAGTTTATTTTGTTCTCTCTCTCTATGCTACTCTTTGACCCCCACTTCTTTCTTTCTTTCTTTTTTACTAGGCCTATGATGAGAGCTACACTGAGCCAGCGTATGAGTCGTACGACAGTTACTACAGTCAGCCACAGGCGTGAGTTCTCCCATCTCTCCATCTCTTGGCAACAAACCACACATTGGCTCTCACCTCCTTGCTCTTAATAATAATAATATGCCATTTAGCAGACGCTTTTATCCAAAGCGACTTACAGTCATGCGTGCATACATTTTTGTGCATGGGTGGTCCCGGGGATCGAACCCACTACCTTGGCGTTACAAGCGCCGTGCTCTACCAGCTGAGCTACAGAGGACCACAGCTCTTCACGGTTACACATACCCTACTTACTAACTGGAGTATCGAATTATGGGGAATGTTGGGACTGTGGTAGGATTGTTTTGAGTCTACATGTTTTTTAGTTGGTTAGTTCAGCTAACCTTCGCTAGGTTAGCAATTGGCTGACATCAGTTATTAAAGCTATAGTTTTATATCTGTTTATGATGCATTTGCTTTTATATCTGATCTACTAAGTGAGTGCATATTTTATGAATGGAATGTAACTTGAACATGACAGCTGGTTAGCTTGGTTTGCTGACTAGGTTGCTTTTCTGGTTAGCTTGATAAGCTAGTTAGCAACATTAACATTTATATTAACAAAAATATCAAACGCACCGTGCAACAATTTCAACAATTTTACTGAGTTACAGTTCATATAAGGAAATCAGTCAATTTCAACAAATTCATTAGACCCTAATCTATGGATTTCACATGACTGGCCAGGGGCGCAAGTCTGGGAGGTCATAGGCCCACCCACTTGGGAGCCAGGCCCACCCACTGTGGGAGCCAGGCCCAGCCAATCAAGAATGTGTCTTTCCCCACAAAAGGGCTTTATTACAGACAGAAATACTCTTCAGTTTCATCAGCTGTCCAGGGCTCCCGAGTGGCGCAGCGGTCTAAGGGACTGCATCTCAGTGCTTGAGGCGTCACTACAGACCCCCTGGTTCGATTCCAGGTTGTATCACAACCGGCAGTGATTGGGAGTCCCATAGGGCGGCGCACAATTGGCCAAGCGTCGTCCGGGTTTGGCCGGTGTAGTCTGTCATTGTAAATAAGAATTTGTTCTTAACTGACTTGCCTAGTTAAATAAAGGTAAAATAAAAATAAAAGGTTGCTGGTCTCAGACGATCCCACATGTGAAGAAGCCGGATGGTGTGGTCTGCAGTTGGACGCACTGCCAAATTCTCTAAAATGACGTTGGAGAGAAATATGGTAGAGAAATAAACATTAAATTCTCTGGCAACAACTCTGGTGGACATTCCTGCAGTCAGCATGCCAATTGCACGCTCCCTCAAACAAATTTGTGCACAACATTTGAGAGAAATACGCTTTTTTTGTGCGTATGGAACATTTCTGGGATCTTTTATTTCAGCTCATGAAACACACTTTACATGTTGCGTTTTTAAATTTTTGGTTCAGTGTATATTTCAGTCATTTTAGCAGATGCTCTTATCCAGAGCGACTAACAGTAGTGAATGCATACATTTTCATACTTATTTTCCTACCTGGTTAGCTTGTTCTGCTTCTATTTTAAATGTTCTTTCTCCTCTGTTCTTCTCTTAGAGAACCAGAGTACTATGACTATGGGCCATAGAGAGGAACAGGGAGCATATGAGCCCTACGGTAAGACATCACTACTCCACTCTCAAGCCAAACCTCTCGTCCTAGCGCTCACCCTTTATGGAGTGGGAAATGTGTTTTTCCTGTCTTGATTGTTGCTCTCAGCATGTGCCAACGTGTGGTGTGGTTCTGTAGGTTGGTAAATCACATGAATGATGCTGACAGCGACACGTGTTCAATACGTCCTTGTTTGAAATGCGCTTGGGGAACCAGAATTTCTGAGTTTCAAAAGGATATGGTGTTGGTTGGACATTTCTACTTGTCATCCAAGCTCATTTTGTAATTACATTTATGTTTGTCTGATCTGTTCTGACCGTCTCTGTTGTGTGTGTGTGTGTGTTTACCCCTCTAGAACAGGACGACTGGAACGGGACCCAGAGAGCGGCACCGGAGGGAAAGGCCCCTCCTGCCAGAACGGCTAAGGGCCCTTACCGAGAACACCCCTATAGACAATACTGAACTCACCATGACAACGCCTAGCGACCAACGCTACCACCGTTAACGCGTTGCCCCGACAACCAACCACCAACCTGTCTACCACGCCAGCTCTCGCTCTAAGCAACCCTCGACAAAAGTAATTGTCCGTTTTGTTTTTGTTTTTGGAATTTTCTACTACGCTGGACTTTTACGAGCAGAAAATCAGGATCTTAACTGATCGAAGCTGATTTGATATTTAATTCAGAGCAACCTTAAAGCGTTTTTTTTTTTTTGGGGGTTTGAAGTTTTAGTTGATTTCTGTTTTTCTCTCTGACCCTGTCTCTCCCTCTGCTTTTTTTGCACTGTTGACCGTAAACATTTTCTTAATTGTTTGGATTTAAACTCACTTCTAGTGTAGTTAGACTGCTTATCAAATTGTTATCGTCTTAAAGGGAAATTTCAAAAATGTTCAACTTCATATTCATAATCTCCAGCACAACATCAACATGTGAAAATGGAGCATTTCTATGTTTTGTAGTAAAAAAAGATAAGAGGGAGATGAGCGTTTCTGATGACATCATCGGTGTGCATCATGTGATTTTTTTAACCAATTATGATGTAATTGGAAACACTTATCTTTGTTAATACAAAACATAGAAACGCTCCATTTTCACATATTGATGTTTTTGGTGGTGCTGCAGATGAGGAATGTGAAGTAGAACATTTTCAAAATTTTATTTTTAAGAAAACCGTTTAATTATTTTGTTTAAAAAATCTAATTTGAGGGACAGTTGCAGATTCCCATTTAGGCTACATTTCAAAATTCTGTTTTAATATAGCGAAGTAAAATCAACTTAAAAGCTGTTTCAATTATGTAATATAAACCAAACAAAAACAAAGTCAAAGGAAACAGTAAAAACAAACAAATGTTAATAGAATTTGATTTAGTATTCCCATTTGTTTTAAATAGTCTTTAATTAAAAATTGACAATTTAGACTTAGGCAGCAGTGATTTTATATAATCATATTTTGTCATTGTACATTTTAGAGTTTTGAAATATAGCCCTAATAGCCACTGTTGAGATGGACTGTCCTCACATACTTCATTTTGTTTTATTAAAGGTGTTCAACAGTATGTTCATTTTTATTATGTCTCTACAGTCGATGTCTTTTTATAAGTAGAATATGGCCTCAGATCGGCCTCATGTCATGATAAATAGTATCACGTGTCAGTACAGGATCTTATTGGTTGAATCTGAATCTATAAACTGCATGTAAAAAAAAAATAACGACGCAATGAAGGATTGGGACCAAAAAAAATCTTCACATGGAGGGATCCTGCAGCTTTTCAAATCTGATCTCTCGTCCAAACTGCACATCCACTATTCTGCCACTGGTATATGTACCCTCCACATTAAAATGCATTATGCTCCATGTGTAAAGCTTGCCTAAATAGGTAACTACTAAATCTGTCCCAAAAAAAAAAATATGTTTTGCAGCAGTTTGTCAATAAAGACTAGTTTGTTTTTCTATGAAACTTCCGTAACTTGGTTTATTTATTTTTTTCCTGTCCTAGTAACATTTGAAATGCCATTTTTAAATAGCATTTAACAGCCTGGTAGTTAGAGGTGTTTGTCTTTGTTATTTATCTTTAAAAACACATTTCTTTTAAATTTAAATGTATTGTATTGTAGTCTGAAGACGTTAACCCTTACTAAATGATGTCTTGATTTGATTATTTAAAAAAAGACTTATTCTTTCTCTCTCTTTCTATACTTTTAAAAAGGAGCCCAGAGGTAAGACCTCTAAAATAAGCTGGATAGCTTCCTAATGTGTTTAGCGCTCTAAAGCATTGAATGCCTGGGTATGTATAAATACTTTTTCAATCCATCTTACCTGTGGTCGTAGACGGTAATGAGAAATGCATTGCTAGACTCTTGTTAGTAAATTAACTGAACTCCAACCATTTAATTCTTAGGTTTGACCCGATGTTCATGTCATGTGTAGAGGCCGACGCGGTGGCTACTTTTAGTAAAGAGAGTAATGGCAGTGAAATGGAGAGGATGGTTTTAACCGTAATCACTCCACTATAAAGGTAACCCTAACCCTAAATGAGTCATTTGATAGTGTGTTTATACATTGAATTAAACTGCTGGTAAATGCGTGCAATTTAGTAAAAGAAGAATTCTAGTCATGTAAAAAAAAAGAAAAAGACCAATCAAAAGTACGAAAAACATAACTTCCAATATTATTGCAGTTGTAAGATTTAATTTACTAAAATAACTTTGCTGTGTTCTTACAAAATATCCTATAATAGTTTTATTAATGCAACTCTTGCTAAAATGAAAATCTGCGAAGCCGAATCTATGTTAATATCTTCTGAACCAGAGCTGCTGCTACTTTTTCTTTGCAATGTGTTTGTAATGGTTTCATATTACTGTAATGGTTAACATGTTCGACACATCTCGTAGAAAGTAATGGACAAAAGCTTGGGTTGCATGACTACAACTACTCTGTAGACTTTGCATGATTTTAACTGAACTGTCCACTAGTGTTTTTTCATTGGTTATTGATTTAATATATCTTCCCTCAGGTCCAGCTATTAGTCAGTGAAGGACCAATCAGAGGTAGGCTTACTGGAGAGATGACCAGTCAGAAGGTCGGATTGCTGGAGAGATGAGACCATGCGTACCTCAGGTAGGAGTGTGTGGCTGAGAAACTAATAGCAAAGTTACTTCTGATGTAGAACCATACACACTGGCCAGAACCATACACACTGGCCAGAACCATACACACTGGCCAGAACCATACACACTGGCCAGAACCATACACACTGGCCAGAACCATATACACTGGCCAGAACCATATACACTGGCCAGAACCATATACACTGGCCAGAACCATATACACTGGCCAGAACCATATACACTGGCTGTAAGTCTCTCTTTTATAAGGCTCTTGTGGGGGTTAGGTTCCACGCTGTCACAGCAAATTTAGCATTTATACTATAGTCCGGCCTTTTGGTACAATTCGAAGCAAGCCACCCTTTAGAGCCAAGGATCATGCTGCAATCTGTCAAAGCAGGTTTATGTCATAGACCTGCTTTGACATACTGTAGACCTGCTTAGACGTAGACTCTTCCCCCAATAGCCAGTCCCAGTCAGCAATAATGCTAATTTGGTGGAATGTACAGATTCCAGAGTTGTGAGGTTGTGACAGGACAGTAACCATGGAGCCCTGGGGGTTGTGACAGGACAGTAACCATGGAGCCCTGAGGGTTGTGACAGGACAGTAACCATGGAGCCCTGAGGGTTGTGACAGGACAGTAACCATGGAGCCCTGGGGGTTGTGACAGGACAGTAACCATGGAGCCCTAGTTGGTTGTGACAGGACAGTAACCATGGAGCCATGAGGGTTGTGACAGGACAGTAACCATGGAGCCCTGGGGGTTGTGACAGGACAGTAACCATGGAGCCATGAGGGTTGTGACAGGACAGTAACCATGGAGCCCTGGGGGTTGTGACAGGACAGTAACCATGGAGCCCTGGTTGGTTGTGACAGGACAGTAACCATGGAGCCATGAGGGTTGTGACAGGACAGTAACCATGGAGCCCTGAGGGTTGTGACAGGACAGTAACCATGGAGCCCTGAGGGTTGTGACAGGACAGTAACCATGGAGCCCTGGGGGTTGTGACAGGACAGTAACCATGGAGCCATGAGGGTTGTGACAGGACAGTAACCATGGAGCCATGAGGGTTGTGACAGGACAGTAACCATGGAGCCCTGAGGGTTGTGACAGGACAGTAACCATGGAGCCCTGAGGGGTTGTGACAGGACAGTAACCATGGAGCCCTGAGGGTTGTGACAGGACAGTAACCATGGAGCCCAGAGGGTTGTGACAGGACAGTAACCATGGAGCCATGAGGGTTGTGACAGGACAGTAACCATGGAGCCATGAGGGTTGTGACAGGACAGTAACCATGGAGCCCTGAGGGTTGTGACAGGACAGTAACCATGGAGCCCTGGTCGGTTGTGACAGGACAGTAACCATGGAGCCCTGAGGGTTGTGACAGGACAGTAACCATGGAGCCCTGGTCGGTTGTGACAGGACAGTAACCATGGAGCCCAGAGGGTTGTGACAGGACAGTAACCATGGAGCCCAGAGGGTTGTGACAGGACAGTAACCATGGAGCCCAGAGGGTTGTGACAGGACAGTAACCATGGAGCCCTGGTCGGTTGTGACAGGACAGTAACCATGGAGCCCTGGTCGGTTGTGAAATGGAACCTGCAGGAAGGGAAGGTAACAGCTGCTAGGTCTAAAAATGACAATTGACGATTACATCAGAACTATGTTGAGAAGCTAATTTTTCTTAATTGGGGTTGGTGATTTAAATGAGCTGTTCTTCAGTCCTTCCTAGTCTAGCCAGATAGATGGCTGTTGTTAAAGTAGGGAAGGAGAGACCACCGTCCTCCTGGGGAGATGAAGGCTTCCCTACCAGCCCTGATCCAATGCTCATTTATTCTGCTAACAAAGATCCTGGTCAGCTAATAGTTTAATACTTGAGTGGAGGGAATGTTGAATATATCAAGTTGAAATTATAAAGGAAGGTTCAGGACAGCAGTTTAATTCCCTTCAATTATATTTATTGCTGATGTGTTTTGGAGCTAACTCCTTCTTCAAAGCATGTTGAATATATCAATTGGTTCTTGTTCTCCTTCCTCAAAGCAGGTTGAATATATCAATGTAGATTGGTTCTTGTAAAAAATGAATGCTATCATGATTGATTGGTTGTGCTCTCTGTGAGGTGGTGCAGCAGCAGGGTTCTACACGATGGAGCTCCATTAGGCTCTACAGTGAAGGACCGACCCAGTGGAGAGCACCAATCCTGGGGGAGGGCAGTCTGGAAGGAGGGCAGGCTGCCAAGAGGACCAGAGAGCAGACGTAGCCTACAGGGGGGAGAGAGAGAAGGGAGCCTGGGCCCCTGATAGAGGAAGAGGGGGGATTCGAGCTACAGGCCAAGCCAAGCTGTGAGGCTCTGGATGAGGGGAGGATCGGGCTCTGGATGGAATGGGGAGTGAATATACACTACTGTGAACTATGACAATCTGGAACTATGAATGTGACTATACTGTGAAACTATGACACTATGCAAAAAGGCTTTCTATTATTTGTATGTCTGACCATGTGGCATTTTGATACTGTGCTGCTTATTCACTGCTAGAACTTTTGTATTTTTTTTTTTGGGGGGTAGATCAGCTTAATATTGCAGATAGATTGTAACTTCAATCAATGTAATTGTCTGCATCACTTCCAATCCCCCATGTTTGTCCTCTGTAGCTCAGCTGGTAGAGCACGGCGCTTGCTAGACGCCAAGGTATGGGTTCTAATCCCCGGGCCGCCCCACCACCCATACACAAAAAAAATGTAATACATTATATACACATACATACATATCCTTTAAAAATATATATATATTCCCCTTTATTACTTTCCAACCCCACCAACCCTTCCCTAATTGGAGTAAACTAGTGAACAACAATGCTTAGGCCTCTACTTCTACCTTATATTTACTATCTATATTTTATGGACACAGTCAATTTTACAATAATTATATTTTGTTAGTTTTTTCTCCTGAATTTCTTCTACTCTCAACCTCTCCGATCATTTTCATGATGTCCATCCGGTTTGCTTCTATATGCCATATCTTTCTAACTGTGCTCTTTCACAAAAGCTCCCAACCTGCAACCTATATACTTATTATGGACACAGTATGCTTACATTATTAGTTATATTGTTATTATTTATTGTTATTTGTTATTAGTCCCATCCTTCAATTCCATTCAACACCACCCATCTATCTCCTAACACCATCCATGTTGGATTTCTATTTGCAATATATTTTTCAACTTTACTGTGATGTTTTTTTCTGTTCTCATTGTTTCTACAGATTGTGAATTGAAAATAAACATTTTTGCTAAAAGTATTATTATATTATTGATCGATTGACTGACTGACTTTTCAGATCACCCAGTAATGCTATCTGTAGGGTTAGCTCCAGGTAAATATTGCAATCCTTTAGCCATTCCTGGACCTGTGTCCAAAAACAAGCTACAAATGGACAGTACCAAAACAAATGATCTAATGATTCTGTCTCTTCGCAGCAAAATCTGCAGAGCTGGGAAGATTGTATCCCCCATATAAATAACATTCTATTGGTAGCAAGAATTTTATATAATAATTTAAATTGAAAGATTCTAAGTTTTGAATCCGGTGTTGTTTTGCGTATCAGTTCATAAACACTATGCAATGGGATCAGTACGTCAAAAATCTCTTCCCAACTATTTTGCAATCTATATGGGACGGCTGTCAATCCTTTGGTCCTTAAATGAAACTGATATACTTTTTTATTTATCACAGTTTTCCTTAACCAATTATGTTCTTTAATGCAAGGCCGACAGACAAGTTCCTTACTTTCTCCCCCTTCCACTTTCCTCTTCCATTTTTGCGGTAAGGCTGCAATTATTTGGTTGTAATTTTGGGTAGAGCAGACATTTCCATATGTTTTTGTTAGCTGCATGTGCGACATAACTCCACCAGTCCTACCGATGATATCATTTATGAAGATTATACCTT